GGCCTGGATTTGTTGCCTGCTCTTCCCCCCGTGCAGCAGCGGCCTGTTTTCCTCCCCCTGTTGTGTGTTTTTATTATTTTCCCTCTGGCTTAGATGTGTCAATCATTCTCTCCCTGCCATTGGTTGGAGAGTTTGCGTCAAAAAGTTGCCAGAGAGGCGCTTTCTCAGCAAATCTCCCTGAGAGCGGAACCTTCCTCAGCTCCAACTCAGCCTCCACTGTTATTAAAAATAAAAAATCGCTAGAGCAGCTCGGTCGCCACGTCTACTTTGTACGTATCGTAGACGGACACACGCTTGTTTACAACTCTCATTTTCTCTTCTCTAAAAAAAGGAGTACTTTTTTTTTTTTTTGCTTATGTTTGACTTTTTATGGAAGGGTGAAGACTACACGGTTTTTAACTGAATACTCTTGATTTCTTCTAGGATAGCTGGCTATTTGGAATTTTGAAGGATAATTTGATTTTTTTCTTTTCTCACCTCCAATGCGGCTGTAAGGTAAGTGTCCGTCTGTCTTGTCTATGGCGCTATCTTTGTGTGCCCCAGTCTGCGGGGACTCCCCGCACCTCCACTAGACGTTCCCGTGCAACTCTGAGGATGTAGAGTTCTCTCTAGCTGGTGCATTTTTTTTCTAGGAGAATTTTAAGGCGAAATAATGGCCATCAGGAAAATTTAAAGATCTGTAGAAGAGGGCGGGAGTGGGAGGGAGCGAGAGCGCGTGCTTCTGGGGGTCACCGCTGCGGCGGAACGTCGTGGAAATCTTACGAGTCTAATCTGGGGTGTTGGGGAGGGGTTTTGTTCTTATGACCACGCTATTCATGGCTTCTACTCGCGAGCTTTGTATTTTGGCCCCTAGGTTAGCTGGAGTCCTTAGGTTTGATCCCAAGGACGTTTTTAGTCTGCGACAAAATGATCCTTGTGCACGTACCTAGGTTGGTAAATTCAAACAATGCTAATAATGTGGGCGCTTCCGAAGGCCGGTGAGCCGAAAGCCTAGCTCCTCGGTCAGTCGGCTGGGACCGCGCGGGTTACCTCTGGAGCCCCCAGTCAGCTGCCGGTGCCGAAATCCGAGCGGATAACCGAGGCGGGAGCGCGGGCGTCTGGTTACTCCCGCGCTGCCTGAGCTCCCTTCTTTCGTCCCCTCTTCCCCTAGCCTAGAGCAGCTCGGCTCGGCGCCTCTTAAAGCTTCTAGGGCTCTTCAATTCTTACATCACTCCCTCCTTATCCCTCGGGATGCAGCTCCCCCACCCTTGGCACAGCACACTGTGGTCGTTGTCCCCGGGACAGATCACCAGGCCGAGACCACTAGTTAGACAGGGTTTTAGATGCGACTTTGCCGGGGGTAGTTCAGGGCACGCGCGTCGCAGCCTCTGCGCGCACCTAGGACGGTCAAAAGTGGGGGTGAGCGCCTGACTGCTCCCAGTCAGCAAGACCGGAATTCCTCCTCTGAGATCTGGGCTTCTCGGTCGTTCTGGGTTTGGGGTAGCGTCGTGGGTCGCTGCGCGTTCACGTAGTGCCTTCTCAAGCTCAGGGACAATAATGGGGGTCCTGGGTCAAGGCCGGCCTCTGCTCTCGGCCTGCCTATGAAGAACCATCAGAAGGTCCCCACTAACACCCGGCCTGGCCGATGACGGGTCGGGCGGCAAACTCCGAAGAAGTGGCGGTGTTTGATGCGTTCAAGTGACTATTGAAAGCTAGGGCCCGATTTCGCGACACGTTTTCTGGAAACCCTAGAGCCCCGATCCGGACACGTCCTTTATAGAGAGAAGCAGTGTGCGGACAGAAGGCCCAGACGCGTGGACCTGCGGTGGTTGGTACACCACTTGGGGAGGGGACCCAGAGAGGAGCTGCTCCTCCCTTGAAAGTGTGGCCTCCATCTCAGAGCTTTGGGAATGGGTCAGGATTTCGCCGGCTCACTTCGGGTCTTTTTCTGGTCACCGAAAGTTCTTAGCACAAGAGTGGAGTTGAGCAAACTCCTTCCCCAAAGTAAGGTAGACTTCCAGGCCTCTCCTTCCAAACCTAGCATCCGGGCTTCTCCAAACTGTAATTAATAATCAAGACCAACCATTTTGGCACACCTCTTTCTCCTTCCCTCGCGGATGGTGAAGTAGTTGATTCCCCGAGGCCAGAACTCTCACTCGAGTTAACCCGGCAGAGGCAAGCGCCGGCTGTTTTCCAAATGTCCGCGTACCTCTTTTCTTCCTCCCCCCAGTTCTTGGTCCTCTTCCCTGCCGCAGGCCAATCACCAGTGCACGTAGTTTTGTTTCCTCTACATCATGCAGAAAATTAATCAGCCAGGACGAGAAGCAGAGCTGAGCACGACCGCCTGTAATTAAGGGACGTGTGCCCCTCGGATTATCTCGTTAGTTTATCAAGAAAACATTTATTATAATTAATTCTCGGACGAGGTAATTATATTGAGCGAGGAACAGCAACTGGTAGATGGGCTTCTTGGAAGAAAAAAAAACACTAAGGAGGAGGGGGTGTGGAGGGGGAAGCGACAGATTGCACGAATTGACCGTTAGATATAAGGCTGCGCAGGCCGGCGCAGGCAGTGGAGAGGGACCCTGGGCGTCAGAGCTGCTGATCTGCGGCGCTGCAGGGCAGGGACGCCGGACCTAGTCGCTTGGAGGTGAGGGCACTCGGGGACTCGCCACGCTACCGCCGTTTCCTCCTAGGTATGCGCTCTCAGAAGCCACCTCGCCTCGCGGTCACCTTAAGTCTTAGAAGGGCGTCCCCACCCCCACCCCTCTTTGCACTATGCGTGGAGAGGAATCTGGGTGGAATCCTTACCCGACTGAAAGTTAGATGGAAGGGCCCGCAGCCGTCTTCTTCCGTCTGCGTTTATTATCTAGATTGGCTGTGAAGAAGTCCCCGCGGTTTGGGTTTTCTCTCCCGGTTTTTTTTTTTTTTTTTTCCCCAGGAGGAAAAGTGAGAACAGGTTACCCAGAGATTGTGAACCATTTTGACTCTCCAAGAAGGATCTCCTTTATGGTGGAACGTAGATAGGCGTTTATCAAAAGATGTGATTAGGCATTTCTAATTGGGTGAGAGCTAGGCCAGTAAATACATTTCTCCATCTTAACATCAGATATGATTTTTGGTTCCTATACTTTTGGTTCAGAACTTTTTCAAGGGGGTAAGGATATATTTTCAAAGAACTTCCACTTTAGAGTAGAAACCATCTAAATAAGCAATGACTGTGTTTTTAAACAGTGTTAACTTTCACAGCCCCAAACAGCTGGCTCTTAGGAGGAGGAATATAGTGTTGTTGTTGTTGTTGTTTTTAAAGAGCAACTAGCTGTGCCAGTAATAATCCAGTTCTTTAAGGAGGACATTTAAGAAATCACATTTTAGGGTGGGAAAACGTGACTTGTGTTCTGAATTTAAATCAGGAAGAAGTCGCAGTTGTTGAGTTCCATTTGAGAAACTTTTGCCTTGGTCTGTTAAGCGAGGTAAATATGAAAATCTACCGTCCTTAAATTTATTATTAGAATTTCATTATGAAAGTGAGAAAAAAAAAGATAACTCGCAATCTTGTAGCCGCCATTTTGAGGAAGTTTCTAAGAGTGTCAAAGTTTCCAAGCAGAGATTTTGGTAAAATAGGTAACGAATTTTAGGAAAATAAAAGCCAGTCTTGGATGCTGCCTGCCTATATTAACATAGCTCTGGGGGAGGGGACTCAGCAAAGGAACAGAAATAACTTTTCCTTTTCTTTCAAGCTCTTTTTTGTGTATAGTTATAGGAAACTTGGAAGGTAGAGAGAAATCCTATTAGTTTCATAGGATTTGAATGTTTATCTATTTCGAACCTAAAATGTGGGAAAGGCAGGAATCTGGTGCAGCATCTGAGAACCTCAACTCCCCTAAAATCTACTTCCCCCAGGATCTGCAACTCCTTATCAAAATCAACATGGAAGCAGCTTGCCCTACCAAAGTATCCCTTCCCACTTGCAAAATGTGGGGACCTACTGTTTTTCTGATTGGTGTCTAACTTCAACATTTCTGGCAAGCCCCATTCCAAGCCTGAAGACTTTTTTCCCCCAGTATGTTTAAATTAAATATTTGATGGGTGTCACTTAAAAGTTAAATACTTGTTTGTTTAGCTATAGTTCTTTAGACACAAATAATCACGGTCCTACAAAACCCTAATAAATCTGTTACTTACCTCAAAATCTAATTATCCAGACTACTAATTAGGTGAAAATGGTTACTGGAAATGACTTCAAAAGTGGAATCATAATGGTCGGTCGGGCAGTTTTCTCAAGTTTGTTCTTCAGCAAGTTGGTATTTTAAATGTTAAATGCATTTACATTTTAGATTCACAGCAGTTGAAAGTGGTAATAAAAAAAAAAGCCAAGATAATTAAAAATCTCTGCCAGGGAAAGGCAACAGTCTGGGAAGAGGTAGATTTCTTGAATTGTTTCTTTGTTTCTCACCAATGGTCTTTGTTATCAGCATTATTTATTTAGCCAAAGAGTTCTTTGTCTCTGCAAATGGCCCCAATCAAGTTTTGTTTGAGACAATTAGCTAGTGCCAGCCAATGAGTCCTATGCAAATGTTGGGATAGGAATGTAATGTGTGCATTTGGAAGCTTGGGGTTTTGTTCTTGGGGGAAGGCAGATTGTAATTGCTTTCCTTGGGTCTTTTTTTTTTTTAAGTTTAGGGTGGGGGTGGGGAAGACAGGTTTATCTGGTCTCGCTCCAACCCCTCTAGTTTTGGAGTTGCTGGGGGCTGGGGGGACGGCGGGGGGCGCATCTGCAACTCCTTTTAAAGCCAGTGTCTAGCGTCGCCCTGGCTCTTTTTAGTTAGTGATGGAACGCGGAGGAAGCTGCTCACTCACAAGCAGTAAACCAGCACCTCTGTTTGTTTGCTTTGCCCTCAGTTCCATCGCTTCAAACCCACCCACCAAGGACCCTGACCCTGTCCACTCCAGGCGAATCGAGACCGTCCGGCTGGGTCCCCCCAATTTGGGCCGACTTTGCACCTCCAAACAACCTTAGCATGATGTCTTATCTAAAGCAACCGCCTTATGCAGTCAATGGTCTGAGTCTGACCACTTCGGGTATGGACTTGCTGCATCCCTCCGTGGGGTACCCGGGTAAGTGAGTCCCGCGGCATTCTCGACGCCCTTCCCCACGCTCGCCTCTCAGGAGCTCCGAAGTTGGAGGGCTCACTGTCCTCACTCAAGCTCCACTCTTGTTTTCCTGGTCACGAAGCAGCCGAGAGCTACCGGGCATTTACTGACCCAGGAGGGAACAAGAGGCTGGAAAGAGACGAGTCTGGGGTCCGAAGCAGTCACAGAAAATCTCACTGCTCCATTCTTAATTAGAGTGGCTTGGGGACACTCATTGAACAGGGTCGTGGAAGGTTGTTGACCTTGTCACTTGAGCATTCTCTCGCCTACTCTGCACGCCCAGTTCCTAGCTAGTACCGCCCGGGGCGCAATCGAATTTTCTCCCCTACGGTCCTTTACAGTTCTCCAGGCCTTGCCTGGGGCTTCCGGTACCTCCAGGCCCCCTCCCTTTAATCCTTAGAGGTGTGGCTTCCCTCCAGGTGCTAGCCATTTTCTTTCCCGGGCACGTCGCCCCGCACCAAATACTCAAAAGTCTGAACTATTGTCGCATTTTAAAGATGCATGAACAAAGGTCCTTGTGGCGCTAAAATACCGTGGGAACTGGGAACTGGCTCCACTATTGCTGCGTCATTTCCAGCCGCTGGTCCTTTCAGAGCCACTAACTTTATTAGACAGCCGTTTCTGTTGATAGTATGGTCCGGCGGTTGTTTCTTGTTTGTTTGTTTCCAGAATCGGACGTGGGAGTGGGAATTGTTTTACTCAGTTTATTTTGCTAGCTCTCCAAGCGATGATTCTTAGTCTGCGGGGGTGCAGTGTGCTGTGAGGTTCTGGGGAGGGGGTCGGGGGTCCTTGGTAGAAATGCGGTGGGAGGTGGAGGTGTGGGAGTCGTGACCCAGGCAAAAGTGCTGTGACTGAGAAACTGCTCCCCCACCCTAAAGGGCCCTGGGCTTCTTGTCCTGCAGCCACCCCCCGGAAACAGCGGCGGGAGAGGACTACATTCACCAGGGCACAGCTGGACGTGTTGGAAGCTCTATTTGCCAAGACCCGGTACCCAGACATCTTCATGCGAGAAGAGGTGGCGCTGAAAATCAACTTGCCCGAGTCCAGGGTACAGGTAGGGCAGATGTCGAGACGCTGTTTTTCCTGAGCCTGCCCTCTCTGAAGTTTGGTGTGTACTGGCTACACACTTTCAGGAGCTAGTGAACTATTCTCCTTTTGCTTTCCGTCCGTGCTTAATTCTATTAACCAGGGTCTTCTGGCCTGGTTGCAAGGTAAGAGTAGCAAATTCAGCTGCAAACACCAAGTCCTAGAACCTTTGGGGTTCAGAGCCCCCTGAAGTTCCAGGTCCAGTCGAGGGCAAATTTCAAGGATAGTCGTGTGGTCCTTGTGCGGACATCCTCTTCTTGAACTTTGTGTGTGGAGTAGAGCTCCTTAACAGTCCAAAAGAAATTTTTTTTTTAAGTACATGGAAAAACTAGCAAATGAATATGTGTGGGGTTGGCTTACTGAGGACAGGACACAGTTTCTAGCTTTGTCAATTAACAGATAAAATTTTATATTCTTACTATCTGGAAAGATATCCCCATTTCTTGCTCTCGCACCCTCCACATTTTACTTGGAAAGGGAGAAAGATCAACTCCCTCTTGACTGGAGAGTAAGTCCTATATGGAACTTTTTGGTGTTTGGCACCTTATCTACACACACAGAACACTCTCCTTTGGGTAGGACATGTTTTTGAAATTGTCAGACGTCACTGTGAGTTCGAGACCAGCCTGGTCTACAAGAGCTAGTTCCAGGACAGGCTCCAAAACCACAGAGAAACCCTGTCTCGAAAAACCAAAAAAAAAAAAAAAAAAAAAGAAAGAAAGAAAGAAAGAAAGAAATTGTCAAATGTCACTGTGAACTACAAAGCAGAAAACAGGATTTTTCAAAATGGGCTGGAAAAAAATTTAGCACTTGTAATTCTTGACCCAAAGCCTTCCCTGAAAACAAACTGACTCAGGGTGATTAGTGGAGCTGAGCTTGGCCTTGGGGGCACCGCAGTGACAACAACGTGCAAATGGAGAACCCCTTCAACACAGAGTAAGCAAGGACCTGTAGCCAGTGCCATGCTTTTAATCCCAGCACAAGGGAGAAAGACAAGTGGATTTCTTTGAGTCCCAGGCTAGCTTGGTCTACAGAGCAAGTTCCAGGACAACCAGCCCCCTCCCCCTCAAGGACCTTTAGCTAAGTCAAACGCCAGCAGTTTCTGTCATAAGTTCCTGCCTTGCAGAGGATGCACAAGGGTGGTAAAGGGAATTTTCAGAATGGCAGAGTTTTTCAGGTGAACAAATCAGTGAGTCAGTGTAGCAAACAGAGTGTGCTGGGCGTGAATGTAAAGGCACAGCCTTGAGTCTTGAAGACTCGTTTTGAGAGCTGCCTTTGAGTTCAAAGCAGAAGCCACATAAGTCCTTTCATTCAGTACAAAGTGTCTTTCAGCAGACACTGGCTCAGATCTCCTCCCCAGGAGCATGTCTTCTTGGAGATTTCTTTCATGCGTCTAAGAGAGACAAAATGTTAGGTCGTGGAGCCAGCCTTCCTGGACGGCGCAATGTATACTGATTGAACTAAAAGTCTGCTCTTGGTGGCATGTAGCACTAGTCTGCTTCCTTCTGAAAGACATAGATATCGTCTATTTTGAGGTCATCCCAAAATGCAATTAGGTCTTTCTCTTCTCTCTGTGCAGAAGAGGTGAAATAGAGAAGCAAGGTAGAGAAGTTTTAGCTCATAACTAAGAGTGATTATCTTAAATTCCAGATGATGAACTGTGTGTTAGGTTGACTTTCCCTCAACTGGGGAGATGTAGGTGGAAGAACCTTGTGAGTCAGTGGTCTCTAACAACAAAGGAAATTGTCTGATCATTTGGCCATGCAATCTAGGACCACTCTTGACCTTATGGAGTTTTTATGGACCACATTAAAGAAGTTTCTTTCCCTTTCAAGGTCTGGTTTAAGAACCGAAGAGCTAAGTGCCGCCAACAACAGCAGCAGCAACAGAATGGAGGTCAAAACAAAGTGAGACCTGCCAAAAAGAAGGCCTCTCCAGCTCGGGAAGTGAGTTCTGAGAGTGGAACCAGTGGCCAGTTCACTCCCCCCTCTAGTACCTCAGTCCCAACCATTGCCAGCAGCAGTGCTCCTGTGTCTATCTGGAGCCCGGCTTCCATCTCCCCACTGTCAGACCCCCTGTCCACCTCCTCCTCCTGCATGCAAAGGTCCTATCCTATGACCTACACTCAGGCTTCAGGTTATAGTCAAGGATATGCTGGCTCAACTTCCTACTTTGGGGGCATGGACTGTGGATCTTATTTGACCCCTATGCATCACCAGCTTCCTGGACCGGGGGCCACACTCAGTCCCATGGGTACCAATGCAGTTACCAGCCATCTCAATCAGTCCCCAGCTTCTCTTTCCACCCAGGGATATGGAGCTTCAAGCTTGGGTTTTAACTCAACCACTGATTGCTTGGATTATAAGGACCAAACTGCCTCCTGGAAGCTTAACTTCAATGCTGACTGCTTGGATTATAAAGATCAGACATCCTCGTGGAAATTCCAGGTTTTGTGAAGACCTGTAGAACCTATTTTTGTGGGTGATTTTTAAATATGCTGGGCTGGACATTCCAGTTTTAGCCAGGCATTGGTTAAAAGAGTTAGATGGGATGATGCTCAGACTCCTGATCAAAGTTCCCGAGAGGCATAGAAGGAAAAATGAAGGGCCTTAGAGGGGCCTCTCAACCAGCAACCTGAAATGGACAAACCAATCATAAGATTCTGTCATAGCTCTAAATCATTGGTTTTTCTGATTTGCAAATGATTGATCAAATATATTCTAGTCACATGCAACCAGACATCGCTCAAAATAGAAATGTCAAACCAAACTAGGTTATGAGGGAAGGGAGAGAAGGCCCAAACCTTCAAAGCCAGAGGTGTTTTAGCCAATCCTTGGTGGAATCTCAGAACTGGACAGTTCCCAGACTCATTCACGGTTCATGACCAACTGGTAGCTGGCACTGAAAACCTTTTCAGGGCCGTGTGAATTGTTCGACTGATTGTCCTAGATGCACTACTTTATTTAAAAAAAAATAATGTTCATAAGGAGTCAATATGTAGTTTAAGAGACAATCAGTGTGTGTCTTATATAAATGGTACATCTGTGGTTTTTAATCTGTGCTAGACTTCAAAACTGTGATCTCCTGTTATTGTATGCAACCTTGAACTCCACCTATGCAGGGGTTCTTCTGTGATTAAATAGGTTATAACTGTAAGCAAAATTCAGAGCAACTGAATACTGTTCTAGAAAGATTACCTTTGGCTGGAGGTGAGCTGCCCTGCTGTCTCTGGTCAAGGGTCGAGGAGAAGCAAAAGGACCCTGATTCGTCCATAATTTAACGTTGGTAAGCCTGGCAGTAAAAAGACATTGATCAATTGCTCTGACCCTGATGAATTTTAAACCGAGATCATTGTCATTTATGCCTGCAGATGTTACTGGAAGTTATATATGCATAAACCCTTTCGCCCTGGAATTGGCAGATATGTATAATTATATTAAAATGGTTCTAGCACAACACTGGGTCTAGTTTAATTTTATGCCATTGCTTATGAATGAAAAGCCTGTATTCAGCCTCACCTTCTTCTGTGTTTATTGAAATCAGTGACTTTGTTTCCTATGCTTTCCCTTTGGCTGAACTCGTTAGGAACGACATGGTTTGTGAGCTGACTTCCCTCAGGATTGCTCCACATGGAAGTTGCGGCTCCCAATCACCCTGTCCTCCCTGCAGGAGCTTGAGTCACTTGGTAGGCGCTTGATTGAGGTGTTTTTTAGCTAGATTAGTTTATGTGTGTGCGTGTGTATGTTTAGGGGAAAACTGGAGTATCTCGGAAAAAGAGAATGGCAAGAATTTCTTGTTTCAGTTCTCTAAGGACATATTTTTCCTTTAAAAAAAAAAGATGAGGTAAACATGAGTGTAATCAGAATCTGAAAGCAACTCAGGCAGAAATGATTTCTGAACAAAAGAGTTTCAGAAAACTTTAAAAACCCATAATTTCAGTAGTTGAACACAAGGCATCCTGGTCAGTGTGTGTGTGCCCTAGGGAAAGGGGTCCCTTTTTTTTTTTTTTTTGTAGGAGTTACCAGAAAAGATAAATGGCCAATGATTGTGGTACTCCTTGGGTTAAAAAAAAAAAAAAAAAAAAAAACCTATTCAATTTCATCTTAAAATTTGACCAAATTCAATGACTCTATAAATGAAGGTTAGCTGTTGCAACCCTTTTGTTTTCTGGTTATTTAATTTCCCATCTCCGCCTGTACTCTTGAATCTCACCTAATCTTGGCCTAAGGAGTCAAGTCGTCTTACTGTTAAATAAAACAGTATTTTGCAGCCATCATAACTGCAGAGCTGGATAGCTAGATCTTCCTGGACCTGGAGGTAATTCATCTTCTGTAGTCTTCCCTGAAGTGATATTGGGGCCCCAGGGTCTTTAGGTTTCCCAGATCTAGTGTTTTTTTTTTTTTTTTTTTTTTTTTTAAACGCTGCACGTTTTTCCGTGCAACAGTAAAGTAACTCCTAAGGAACCAATCTCTCAGATTGCCATTGGTTTTCAGGAAATCTTAGGAAAAACAGGATGAGCATCTGGCAAGCTTAGGGCTTACTCAGCAATGACTCGGTTTCTTCAGGGTCTGAACACGAAGTTAAAGGAGGTCTCTAAAACCAATTTTTCCATCACTTCTGCACAACTTCGTTTAACTGAGACCACACAGTTCAATTGCTTTGAATGAACTCGCGAAGTAGAAAGGATTTCCCACGATCAAAGGGAAACGGGAGCGAATGGGGAGCTAGCATTGGCTTAAAGATATCCAGAGTTCTGATCGCCACTCCTAATCAAGACTGGGTTTAATGAAGTTAATGAAGTCCCATACTGCTTGATATTTGGTACTGAAATGACTCGCCTCCAAATGAGTCAGGGAGTCGCTTAATCGGAAGCCAGCGGGCGATACGACCTTCATTTGGGAGGGCAGAGGTGAGGTGTGGGGGACAGACTGGCTTTTCAAAGCTTGTATCCAACCTTTCTCGCTCTTACAAATATGCCTGGCCCTTTGGATTTCACCTTGGTAGTGTTCCCTTCATAGATAAGAAGAGAAATTCAATCAAGCTAATTAAGTTCCGGCTTTCGAAACCTCCAGGTTTAGAAAATGGTCGTTTCCTCAATTCCTCCTGGTTCCTAATCGCACATCTGTGTCTGCGTGTCCCTACCCACCCCTCCACTCAAATATCCGGAAAGAACAGCTGCGGAGGCCGGGCACAACTTCCAGAAACAGCCTGGTGCCCTGGTTGGCCGAGGCAGCCCACCAAAGGCCTCGGATCCTCTTTCTTCAGGGCTGCCCTTCCCAGCAACAGTAGCTTGCCAGGAAAATCGTCCCAGCTGTGCCCGGGGGTTCAGAGTTGGGGCGGGGGCTCTGGGCAGCATTCGGCCTGCTGGTGTTGAAGGCTCTGGCCTAGCCAAGTGGCTGTCTTTTCTCGTGGGGCTCCCGCAAGGTCCCGGACTTCACTCCAGACTAGCAGGTCCCTTCAACCCAGTCCCCAGACCTGGAGAGCACGAGGCGTCGCCGCCAGGGCCAGTGGGAGCGCAACCCTGCCCTGCCACGCCCGCAGCCACTGAACCCTAGTGGGGTGGGTGTCGTTGGGATATTTTAAGCCCAGCGGAGTTCAGGGGTCAAGGCAATTTCGGGGTTTGGAAAGCAATTTGGGAGGCAAGCGTTCTGCGTCCGAGCGACCTGTATCCTGCAAACCAGAGGCCGGCGAGCAGCGTTCAGCAGGCTAGCACTGAGGAAAGTCGGTCTGGAGGAGCTCGGGGACGGCTGGCTTTGCAGGGTTCCGGGGGTGAGGGTGGGGGCTGCGCTGCGGGCGACTCGGGAGAGGACAGCTGCTCCCGGAAGCTTGGGGAAAGTTGGTCGCTGGGCTTGAGGGCTCCTGCAGCGCCTCGGACCAGGGCGCCCAGCTGTGTCTGCCCTTGGAGAATTTCAAGGACAGCCAGGTGCTTAGGTAGTGAATACACAGACTTGGAGCCCTCTTCTGATAGCCCGGTACTGACTCGGAAGCTTGAGAAACTCATTGGCACTCAGCCTCGTTTCCCCACGAGCGTTGGCTGGTTTGGTTTGGGATCCGGTGCGGCAGCCTAGAGGGTCAGAAGCAAGTTCTGGAATGGGGAAGCGACTCCTTTCGGTGTCATGGATGTCGCCAGGTTGCCAATTCGTCCCATTCCAGTACCTGCAGTGCAGAGGCCTCACACAAGTGCCGGTCTCCTATTAATCAGAAACCGCCAGTCGGACAAACGGAACCTCACACCTGGTGAGAAACTCACTATTGTTATTAAGACAACTCTGTAACCCAAAACCAGGTATGCTGATGTTAGGTGGGGTCTCTTGCATGCAGAGGTGTGTTTTAATCATGCAAAAGACGTACACAAAGAAGACGGGCATCCCATACAAATAGAAGTAGAAAACAGGATGCAAGACGCTGTGTTCTGTTGGTCCTTGACCTGTGCCTGCAACCTTGCCTTCCTCCTAAACCATCAGGAGGACAGCAGCCCTTTTTATGCCCTTATCACAACATCTGCATACTCATATCTATGAGCAGAGCACTAAGGACCCCTGCTTTTCTAATCCTCTCTCACCCTGTCAGGGCAGGTTGCCCTGATAAATCTGATTCTCCCAGAAACCCCATTTCCACCCTTGGGTTGGTGGGGCATAAAAGTCCAAAGACCATCTGTCTACTCCTGCAAAACCCCTAAGGAGGGCTACCCCGACATTTTGGGGGGATTGGCTGTGCAACTACTGGCGATAGGGTTTATCTCAGACAGAATTAACATTACGAGTAAAGCTGTTGTTCACCATGATATTGAGAAACGTGTGGAATTGCTTGGAGCTTCTCCTTCCAACTGCCTGCCAATAGCCATATGACTTAGAGAAGTGTTTTTAAAAATTGTTTTATGCTCAATTCGAACAGGATGTATACAGTGTTTGGAAAAGGTAGTTTTGTCTGGTGGCTGCGTTTGGAGGAAACGGAAGCAAGTAACTTGTGTCTGCGGAAGTGGCTGGAGAGGAGGAAGCAGGTAATGCATTTGAAAAGCCTTCTGCTAAGCACCAGCCCTCGCGACCAAAGGAGGTCCCTCCCAAATGCTAAAGAGACTCCGTCAGACTTCCCCTCCTGCCAGCACTATGTTTTATGTTTAAGACCCAACCCGCTGTTGACTGCCAACAGACAATGAGCAGATTGAAATAAAGGAGCCCTACGAGGTCCAATCCATTTAGTCAAAGATGACTGTAGGTGCTGGCGCAGCTGCGCCACCATCTTCTGGGGAGGGCAACTTCAAAATATGTTTTTCTCCTAGAGGGAAAGTCTGATGGCATGGGGTCTAGGACTTAACTTTTATTCCCCAACTTTGCCCACCCTCTACCTCCAGTTCTTAGTGGAAACAATGTTTGAAGAAAACAAATAAACAAGCAGAATAAAAAAGAATCCCATAGCAAACACAACGGTAAGCTAGTAGGGTCTGAACTGCCCTGTG